GAGGCACGTTTGAAGTGTTTGCGTTGAGAAGCGGCGCCACAACGGCTTCGACTGCATGCAGCATTGCTTGGCACACTGCATGCAAGATTCACGCAGCCACAAAAGGAACAGGTGCACACACCGTCGCGAAAGGAGTAGATTGCGGTTGTGTGTGTGGCACCTGCGGAGAAGAACGGTGCGACAGGTCCGAGTGGTCTAGCCGCAACGCGTAGGCTGCTGGCAGTTTTAGATGTGCGTAGAATTACAGGGTAGCTTGCACGAAGCCTTGCAGGGAAACTTGTGGCTAATGAGAAATGCATCACGTGTCTGTGAATAGGATGGCGATACGCACTTGGTCGTTTGTGCGGAGGCAGGGTGTTTTTTGTGGAGTGTGACCTCTTCGATTTGTTCGTTCGGCATGCTAGAGTTCCTCGATGGCATGCAGTCGGTAGGTGAAAACGAAGTGATGGTCATTTTTTGGATTCCCGGGACTAGAAGATGAAGTGCAGTTCATTTGGTGTCGCCAACGTTGGTGCCATGAGCTGCAGACTGATTCAATGGCTGGCAATGAGGGAATTGGCCTTTGCTTGTCAGTGCCCTGGAAGAGGCGGTGTCTGGCTTTGGGAGCGTGCCAGCGCTCAGGGCTTGAGTGGGTATTCTGCGCCATGGAATTTACAGGGGTAGCGCTGTTCGTGGGCGGTTTCGTCATGAAACAGGAAGATTTCATAGACGTGACTGCACCGGAGATGAGTTGCGGTGAAGCCGGCGGACGTGCTTCACTGTTTGAGGTGGGGACCTTATGTTAAGCAATATCAAGCGTTGCGTCCATCTTGTTCTTGCTTGGGAGAAATTCACGCGCATTTAGTTGTGTTGTGCCTGGTTGGGATGGTTCCTGAGGGTAGAGTCTAGAAACATATGATGCACGGCTCGCAGAAATAAGGTGTGTGTTTGTTCGGTGTAAACGAGTTGGTGGCCGTGGAGGGAAGGCGGGCCAGAGAACGTTGGCGCCGAGTCGTGCGGCGGCGTTTTAGTCAGTGCCATCGGGTGGTTGCGAAAGCAAAAAGGCATTTGGGCATGTCTGCTAGGCGTCTGCGAATGCACGCTGCAAGCTTGGGGTGTGCGCTGCACGCGTCAGGCGACGCAAAACTCAACAACGAGTGGTGAGCGCTCGGCTTAAAGACCGAGCGCTCAAGTCTCGTCATTGAGTTTGGTATTGGGCGCGGTGAGTAGGAGGAACGTGAAGTGACGCATCGAAGAGCATAGCTGTTCCGAAGCCGTTCACATTGCAGTTGGTGTTGAGCCATCGGGGTGTATTATTCTGTGGCAAGTGAGCAAGAGTTTCGCCACACCTGGAGGCTATCTGGCAGTAGTAGCGTTTGTTGGCAGGGTCAAGAGAGTGCTGCGCATTGTGTTGTTTCCTGCCTCGCACACACCATAGCCAAGCGCTTTGAAAACCTGGGCGAACGTGCAGAAGGTATGTTGGAAGTGCCTTGCGAAAAGCGTGCAACGGAGGCACGTTTGAAGTGTTTGCGTTGAGAAGCGGCGCCACAACGGCTTCGACTGCATGCAGCATTGCTTGGCACACTGCATGCAAGATTCACGCAGCCACAAAAGGAACAGGTGCACACACCGTCGCGAAAGGAGTAGATTGCGGTTGTGTGTGTGGCACCTGCGGAGAAGAACGGTGCGACAGGTCCGAGTGGTCTAGCCGCAACGCGTAGGCTGCTGGCAGTTTTAGATGTGCGTGGAATTGCAGAGTAGCTTGCACGATGTCTTGCAGGGAAACTTGTGGCTAATGAGAAATGCATCACGTGTCTGTGAATAGGATGGCGATACGAGCTTGGTCGTTTGTGCGGAGGCAGGGTGCTTTTTGTGGAGTGTGACCTCTTCGATTTGTTCGTTCGGCATGCGAGAGTTCCTCGATGGCATGCAGTCGGTAGGTGAAGACGAAGTGATGGTCACTTTTTGGATTCCCGGGACTAGAAGATGAAGTGCAGTTCATTTGGTGTCGCCAACGTTGGTGCCATGACCTGCAGACTGATTCAATGGCTCGCAATGAGGGAATAGGCTTTTGCTTGTCAGTGCCCTGGAAGAGGCGGTGTCTGGCTTTGGGAGCGTGCCAGCGCTCAGGGCTTGAGTGGGTATTCTGCGCCATGGAATTTACAGGGGTAGCGCTGTTCGTGGGCGGTTTCGTCATGAAACAGGAAGATTTCATAAACGTGACTGCACTGGAGATGAGCTGCGATGAAGCCGGCCGAGGTGCTTCGCTGTTTGAGGTGGGGACCTTCTGTTGAGCAATATCAAGCGTTGCGTCCATCTTGTTCTTGCTTGGGAGAAATTCCTGCGCATTTAGTTGTGTTGTGCCTGGTTTGGATGGTGTTTGAGGGTAGAGTTTAGTAGCACATGAAGCACGGCTCGCAGAAATAAGGTGTGTGTTTGTTCGGTGTAAACGAGTTGGTGGCCGTGGAGGGAAGGCGGGCCAGAGAACGTTGGCGCCGAGTCGTGCGGCGGCGTTTTTGTCAGTGCCATGGGGTGGTTGCGAAAGCAAAAAAGCATTTGGGCATGTCTGCTAGGCGTCTGCGAATGCACGCTGCAAGCTTGGGGTGTGCGCTGCACGCGTCAGGCGACGCAAAACTCAACAACGAGTGGTGAGCGCTCGGCTTAAAGACCGAGCGCTCAAGTCTCGTCATTGAGTTTGGTATTGGGCGCGGTGAGTAGGAGGAACGTGAAGTGACGCATCGAAGAGCATAGCTGTTCCGAAGCCGTTCACATTGCAGTTGGTGTTGAGCCATCGGGGTGTATTATTCTGTGGCAAGTGAGCAAGAGTTTCGCCACACCTGGAGGCTATCTGGCAGTAGTAGCGTTTGTTGGCAGGGTCAAGAGAGTGCTGCGCATTGTGTTGTTTCCTGCCTCGCACACACCATAGCCAAGCGCTTTGAAAACCTGGGCGAACGTGCAGAAGGTGTGTTGGAAGTGCTTTGCGAAAAGCGTGAAACGGAGGCACGTTTGAAGTGTTTGCGTTGAGAAGCGGCGCCACAACGGCTTCGACTGCATGCAGCATTGCTTGGCACACTGCATGCAAGATTCACGCAGCCACAAAAGGTACAGGTGCACACACCGTCGCGAAAGGAGTAGATTGCGGTTGTGTGTGTGGCACCTGCGGAGAAGAACGGTGCGACAGGTCCGAGTGGTCTAGCCGCAACGCGTAGGCTGCTGGCAGTTTTAGATGTGCGTAGAATTACAGGGTAGCTTGCACGAAGCCTTGCAGGGAAACTTGTGGCTAATGAGAAATGCATCACGTGTCTGTGAATAGGATGGCGATACGAGCTTGGTCGTTTGTGCGGAGGCAGGGTGTTTTTTGTGGAGTGTGACCTCTTCGATTTGTTCGTTCGGCATGCGAGAGTTCCTCGATGGCATGCAGTCGGTAGGTGAAGACGAAGTGATGGTCATTTTTTGGATTCCCGGGACTAGAAGATGAAGTGCAGTTCATTTGGTGTCGCCAACGTTGGTGCCATGAGCTGCAGACTGATTCAATGGCTGGCAATGAGGGAATAGGCCTTTGCTTGTCAGTGCCCTGGAAGAGGCGGTGTCTGGCTTTGGGAGCGTGCCAGCGCTCAGGGCTTGAGTGGGTATTCTGCGCCATGGAATTTACAGGGGTAGCGCTGTTCGTGGGCGGTTTCGTCATGAAACAGGAAGATTTCATAGACGTGACTGCACCGGAGATGAGTTGCGGTGAAGCCGGCGGACGTGCTTCACTGTTTGAGGTGGGGACCTTATGTTAAGCAATATCAAGCGTTGCGTCCATCTTGTTCTTGCTTGGGAGAAATTCACGCGCATTTAGTTGTGTTGTGCCTGGTTGGGATGGTTCCTGAGGGTAGAGTCTAGAAACATATGATGCACGGCTCGCAGAAATAAGGTGTGTGTTTGTTCGGTGTAAACGAGTTGGTGGCCGTGGAGGGAAGGCGGGCCAGAGAACGTTGGCGCCGAGTCGTGCGGCGGCGTTTTTGTCAGTGCCATCAGGTGGTCGCGAAAGCAAAAGAGCATTTGGGCATGTCTGCTAGGCGTCTGCGAATGCACGCTGCAAGCTTGGGGTGTGCGCTGCACGCGTCAGGCGACGCAAAACTCAACAACGAGTGGTGAGCGCTCGGCCTAAAGACCGAGCGCTCAACTCTCGTCATTGAGTTTGGTATTGGGCGCGGTGAGTAGGAGGAACGTGAAGTGACGCATCGAAGAGCATAGCTGTTCCGAAGCCGCTCACATTGCAGTTGGTGTTGAGCCATCGGGGTGTATTATTCTGTGGCAAGTGAGCAAGAGTTTCGCCACACCTGGAGGCTATCTGGCAGTAGTAGCGTTTGTTGGCAGGGTCAAGAGAGTGCTGCGCATTGTGTTGTTTCCTGCCTCGCACACACCATAGCCAAGCGCTTTGAAAACCTGGGCGAACGTGCAGAAGGTGTGTTGGAAGTGCTTTGCGAAAAGCGTGAAACGGAGGCACGTTTGAAGTGTTTGCGTTGAGAAGCGGCGCCACAACGGCTTCGACTGCATGCAGCATTGCTTGGCACACTGCATGCAAGATTCACGCAGCCACAAAAGGAACAGGTGCACATACCGTCGCGAAAGGAGTAGATTGCGGTTGTGTGTGTGGCACCTGCGGAGAAGAACGGTGCGACAGGTCCGAGTGGTCTAGCCGCAACGCGTAGGCTGCTGGCAGTTTTAGATGTGCGTAGAATTACAGGGTAGCTTGCACGAAGCCTTGCAGGGAAACTTGTGGCTAATGAGAAATGCATCACGTGTCTGTGAATAGGATGGCGATACGAGCTTGGTCGTTTGTGCGGAGGCAGGGTGTTTTTTGTGGAGTGTGACCTCTTCGATTTGTTCGTTCGGCATGCGAGAGTTCCTCGATGGCATGCAGTCGGTAGGTGGAAACGAAGTGATGGTCATTTTTTGGATTCCCGGGACTAGAAGATGAAGTGCAGTTCATTTGGTGTCGCCAACGTTGGTGCCATGACCTGCAGACTGATTCAATGGCTGGCAATGAGGGAATAGGCCTTTGCTTGTCAGTGCCCTGGAAGAGGCGGTGTCTGGCTTTGGGAGCGTGCCAGCGCTCAGGGCTTGAGTGGGTATTCTGCGCCATGGAATTTACAGGGGTAGCGCTGTTCGTGGGCGGTTTCGTCACGAAACAGGAAGATTTCATAAACGTGACTGCACTGGAGATGAGCTGCGATGAAGCCGGCCGAGGTGCTTCGCTGTTTGAGGTGGGGACCTTCTGTTAAGCAATATCAAGCGTTGCGTCCATCTTGTTCTTGCTTGGGAGAAATTCACGCGCATTTAGTTGTGTTGTGCCTGGTTTGGATGGTGTTTGGGGGTAGAGTTTAGTAGCACATGAAGCACGGCTCGCAGAAATAAGGTGTGTGTTTGTTCGGTGTAAACGAGTTGGTGGCCGTGGAGGGAAGGCGGGCCAGAGAACGTTGGCGCCGAGTCGTGCGGCGGCGTTTTTGTCAGTGCCATGGGGTGGTTGCGAAAGCAAAAAAGCATTTGGGCATGTCTGCTAGGCGTCTGCGAATGCACGTTGCAAGCTTGGGGTGTGCGCTGCACGCGTCAGGCGACGCAAAACTCAACAACGAGTGGTGAGCGCTCGGCCTAAAGACCGAGCGCTCAAGTCCCGTCATTGAGTTTGGTATTGGGCGCGGTGAGTAGGAGGAACGTGAAGTGACGCATCGAAGAGCATAGCTGTTCGGAAGCCGTTCACATTGCAGTTGGTGTTGAGCCATCGGGGTGTATTATTCTGTGGCAAGTGAGCAAGAGTTTCGCCACACCTGGAGGCTATCTGGCAGTAGTAGCGTTTGTTGGCAGGGTCAAGAGAGTGCTGCGCATTGTGTTGTTTCCTGCCTCGCACACACCATAGCCAAGCGCTTTGAAAACCTGGGCGAACATGCAGGAGGTGTGTTGGAAGTGCTTTGCGAAAAGCGTGAAACGGAGGCACGTTTGAAGTGTTTGCGTTGAGAAGCGGCGCCACAACGGCTTCGACTGCATGCAGCATTGCTTGGCACACTGCATGCAAGATTCACGCAGCCACAAAAGGAACAGGTGCACACACCGTCGCGAAAGGAGTAGATTGCGGTTGTGTGTGTGGCACCTGCGGAGAAGAACGGTGCGACAGGTCCGAGTGGTCTAGCCGCAACGCGTAGGCTACTGGCAGTTTTAGATGTGCGTAGAATTACAGGGTAGCTTGCACGAAGCCTTGCAGGGAAACTTGTGGCTAATGAGAAATGCATCACGTGTCTGTGAATAGGATGGCGATACGAGCTTGGTCGTTTGTGCGGAGGCAGGGTGTTTTTTGTGGAGTGTGACCTCTTCGATTTGTTCGTTCGGCATGCGAGAGTTCCTCGATGGCATGCAGTCGGTAGGTGAAGACGAAGTGATGGTCACTTTTTGGATTCCCGGGACTAGAAGATGAAGTGCAGTTCATTTGGTGTCGCCAACGTTGGTACCATGACCTGCAGACTGATTCAATGGCTGGCAATGAGGGAATAGGCCTTTGCTTGTCAGTGCCCTGGAAGAGGCGGTGTCTGGCTTTGGGAGCGTGCCAGCGCTCAGGGCTTGAGTGGGTATTCTGCGCCATGGAATTTACAGGGGTAGCGCTGTTCGTGGGCGGTTTCGTCACGAAACAGGAAGATTTCATAAACGTGACTGCACTGGAGATGAGCTGCGATGAAGCCGGCCGAGGTGCTTCGCTGTTTGAGGTGGGGACCTTCTGTTAAGCAATATCAAGCGTTGCGTCCATCTTGTTCTTGCTTGGGAGAAATTCCTGCGCATTTAGTTGTGTTGTGCCTGGTTTGGATGGTGTTTGAGGGTAGAGTTTAGTAGCACATGAAGCACGGCTCGCAGAAATAAGGTGTGTGTTTGTTCGGTGTAAACGAGTTGGTGGCCGTGGAGGGAAGGCGGGCCAGAGAACGTTGGCGCCGAGTCGTGCGGCGGCGTTTTTGTCAGTGCCATCGGGTGGTTGCGAAAGCAAAAGAGCATTTGGGCATGTCTGCTAGGCGTCTGCGAATGCACGCTGCAAGCTTGGGGTGTGCGCTGCACGCGTCAGGCGACGCAAAACTCAACAACGAGTGGTGAGCGCTCGGCCTAAAGACCGAGCGCTCAAGTCCCGTCATTGAGTTTGGTATTGGGCGCGGTGAGTAGGAGGAACGTGAAGTGACGCATCGAAGAGCATAGCTGTTCCGAAGTCGTTCACATTGCAGTTGGTGTTGAGCCATCGGGGTGTATTATTCTGTGGCAAGTGAGCAAGAGTTTTGCCACACCTGGAGGCTATCTGGCAGTAGTAGCGTTTGTTGGCAGGGTCAAGAGAGTGCTGCGCATTGTGTTGTTTCCTGCCTCGCACACACCATAGCCAAGCGCTTTGAAAACCTGGGCAAACATGCAGGATGTGTGTTGGAAGTGCTTTGCGAAAAGCGTGAAACGGAGGCACGTTTGAAGTGTTTGCGTTGAGAAGCGGCGCCACAACGGCTTCAACTGCATGCAGCATTGCTTGGCACACTGCATGCAAGATTCACGCAGCCACAAAAGGAACAGGTGCACATACCGTCGCGAAAGGAGTAGATTGCGGTTGTGTGTGTGGCACCTGCGGAGAAGAACGGTGCGACAGGTCCGAGTGGTCTAGCCGCAACGCGTAGGCTGCTGGCAGTTTTAGATGTGCGTAGAATTACAGGGTAGCTTGCACGAAGCCTTGCAGGGAAACTTGTGGCTAATGAGAAATGCATCACGTGTCTGTGAATAGGATGGCGATACGCACTTGGTCGTTTGTGCGGAGGCAGGGTGTTTTTTGTGGAGTGTGACCTCTTCGATTTGTTCGTTCGGCATGCGAGAGTTCCTCGATGGCATGCAGTCGGTAGGTGAAGACGAAGTGATGGTCATTTTTTGGATTCCCGGGACTAGAAGATGAAGTGCAGTTCATTTGGTGTCGCCAACGTTGGTGCCATGACCTGCAGACTGATTCAATGGCTGGCAATGAGGGAATAGGCCTTTGCTTGTCAGTGCCCTGGAAGAGGCGGTGTCTGGCTTTGGGAGCGTGCCAGCGCTCAGGGCTTGAGTGGGTATTCTGCGCCATGGAATTTACAGGGGTAGCGCTGTTCGTGGGCGGTTTCGTCATGAAACAGGAAGATTTCATAGACGTGACTGCACCGGAGATGAGTTGCGGTGAAGCCGGCGGACGTGCTTCACTGTTTGAGGTGGGGACCTTATGTTAAGCAATATCAAGCGTTGCGTCCATCTTGTTCTTGCTTGGGAGAAATTCACGCGCATTTAGTTGTGTTGTGCCTGGTTTGGATGGTGTTTGAGGGTAGAGTTTAGTAGCACATGAAGCACGGCTCGCAGAAATAAGGTGTGTGTTTGTTCGGTGTAAACGAGTTGGTGGCCGTGGAGGGAAGGCGGGCCAGAGAACGTTGGCGCCGAGTCGTGCGGCGGCGTTTTTGTCAGTGCCATCGGGTGGTTGCGAAAGCAAAAGAGCATTTGGGCATGTCTGCTAGGCGTCTGCGAATGCACGCTGCAAGCTTGGGGTGTGCGCTGCACGCGTCAGGCGACGCAAAACTCAACAACGAGTGGTGAGCGCTCGGCCTAAAGACCGAGCGCTCAAGTCCCGTCATTGAGTTTGGTATTGGGCGCGGTGAGTAGGAGGAACGTGAAGTGACGCATCGAAGAGCATAGCTGTTCCGAAGTCGTTCACATTGCAGTTGGTGTTGAGCCATCGGGGTGTATTATTCTGTGGCAAGTGAGCAAGAGTTTCGCCACACCTGGAGGCTATCTGGCAGTAGTAGCGTTTGTTGGCAGGGTCAAGAGAGTGCTGCGCATTGTGTTGTTTCCTGCCTCGCACACACCATAGCCAAGCGCTTTGAAAACCTGGGCGAACATGCAGGATGTGTGTTGGAAGTGCTTTGCGAAAAGCGTGCAACGGAGGCACGTTTGAAGTGTTTGCGTTGAGAAGCGGCGCCACAACGGCTTCGACTGCATGCAGCATTGCTTGGCACACTGCATGCAAGATTCACGCAGCCACAAAAGGAACAGGTGCACACACCGTCGCGAAAGGAGTAGATTGCGGTTGTGTGTGTGGCACCTGCGGAGAAGAACGGTGCGACAGGTCCGAGTGGTCTAGCCGCAACGCGTAGGCTGCTGGCAGTTTTAGATGTGCGTAGAATTACAGGGTAGCTTGCACGAAGCCTTGCAGGGAAACTTGTGGCTAATGAGAAATGCATCACGTGTCTGTGAATAGGATGGCGATACGAGCTTGGTCGTTTGTGCGGAGGCAGGGTGTTTTTTGTGGAGTGTGACCTCTTCGATTTGTTCGTTCGGCATGCGAGAGTTCCTCGATGGCATGCAGTCGGTAGGTGAAGACGAAGTGATGGTCATTTTTTGGATTCCCGGGACTAGAAGATGAAGTGCAGTTCATTTGGTGTCGCCAACGTTGGTGCCATGACCTGCAGACTGATTCAATGGCTGGCAATGAGGGAATAGGCCTTTGCTTGTCAGTGCCCTGGAAGAGGCGGTGTCTGGCTTTGGGAGCGTGCCAGCGCTCAGGGCTTGAGTGGGTATTCTGCGCCATGGAATTTACAGGGGTAGCGCTGTTCGTGGGCGGTTTCGTCATGAAACGGGAAGATTTCATAAACGTGACTGCACTGGAGATGAGCTGCGATGAAGCCGGCCGAGGTGCTTCGCTGTTTGAGGTGGGGACCTTCTGTTAAGCAATATCAAGCGTTGCGTCCATCTTGTTCTTGCTTGGGAGAAATTCACGCGCATTTAGTTGTGTTGTGCCTGGTTTGGATGGTGTTTGAGGGTAGAGTTTAGTAGCACATGAAGCACGGCTCGCAGAAATAAGGTGTGTGTTTGTTCGGTGTAAACGAGTTGGTGGCCGTGGAGGGAAGGCGGGCCAGAGAACGTTGGCGCCGAGTCGTGCGGCGGCGTTTTTGTCAGTGCCATGGGGTGGTTGCGAAAGCAAAAAAGCATTTGGGCATGTCTGCTAGGCGTCTGCGAATGCACGCTGCAAGCTTGGGGTGTGCGCTGCACGCGTCAGGCGACGCAAAACTCAACAACGAGTGGTGAGCGCTCGGCTTAAAGACCGAGCGCTCAAGTCCCGTCATTGAGTTTGGTATTGGGCGCCGTGAGTAGGAGGAACGTGAAGTGACGCATCGAAGAGCATAGCTGTTCCGAAGCCGTTCACATTGCAGTTGGTGTTGAGCCATCGGGGTGTATTATTCTGTGG